TTTATTAACGGAAGTCATGTGACCCGTGGGCTTCCCTTTGTCATCCTATGCCTGAGAATATATGAAGGGGGCTGGGAAGGCAAAGGGACGTTCAACTGTCATTACTGACATCTAGCTCAACCACCATTCCATCATTAGCCATCTCAAAGTGCATCAACCTGATGCTTTCTAATAAACATCCATACAATGTTTAATTTTGCAAAGTCTGGCATGTATTAAAAAAATTGTTAATTATAAAGTGTCTGGACTTATTCACTTCTGCATTTTTTTAAATTATTTCCTGATACTGATATGTGCAACTACTGTCATAAATGTTAAGATATTTTGAAGTATGCAAATGTCAGCACCAGGCTTGTATCTCATTATATGAGTTCATGAAACAAATGCAGATTAATGTAGTTCCTGGTTGCTTGAGAGTTAGAAATAGGTCTCACTAATGACATACCCCATACTATACCATAGCATAATTGGTCCCCTTTCACCCGGGAGGTGAGCTGATTAGGGTTGCCACCTTTTCTTAAAGCAAAACCCCTACGCTCTAGCAGCCAGGAGCGAGAGCGAGCAAAGAGAGACAGCCAGGAGGGTGAGCGAGCAAAGAGAGACAGCCAGGAGGGAGAGCGAGAGAGACAGCCCGGAGAGAGCGAAGAGAGACAGCCAGGAGAGAGTGAAGAGAGACAGTCAGGAGAGAGCTAAGAGGGACAGCCACTAGAGAGAGAGAAGGCATAGCAAAAGAGCGAAGAGAGCGAAGAGAGACAGCCAGGAGAGAGTGAAGAGAGACAGCCAGGAGATAGAGCAAAGAGAGAGAGAGCGAGAAGAGAGACAGCCAGGAGAGAGAGCGAAGAGAGACAGCAAGGAGAGCGCGAAGAGAGACAGCCAGGAGAGCGCGAAGAGAGACAGCCAGGAGAGCGCGAAGAAAGACAGCCAGGAGATAGAGCGAAGAGAGACAGCCAGGAGAGAGAGCGAAGAGAGACAGCCAGGAGAGCGCGAAGAGAGACAGCAAGGAGAGAGCGAAGAGAGACAGCCAGGAGAGAGCAAAGAGAGACAGCCAGAAGAGAGTGAAGAGAGACAGCCAGGAGAGAGCGAAGAGAGACAGCCAGGAGAGAGTGAAGAGAGACAGCCAGGAGAGAGAGCGAAGAGAGACAGCCACTAGAGAGAGAGAGAGAGAGAGAGAAGGCATAACAACGCACCCACCTGAGGCCCCACAGAACCCTAGAGAGAGAAAAAGAGAGAGAGAGAGAGCCACAAGAGAGAGAGAGAGACAGCGAGTAAAGAGAGAGAGAGACAGCCACTAGAGAGAGAGAGAGAGAGAGAGAAGGCATAACAACGCACCCACCTGAGGCCCCACAGAACCCACCATAGATCCTGCACAACCCACAGAGACTGTCTATGGTAAGCGCTGCAGGGTCTGAGCACCGGACCATCAACGACCTCTTTCTTCACTGGACCGGCGGTACTTGGCACCAGCCCCGGCGTCCTCCACCTCCTCCCCTGTCAGTGCCTGCCCGGCGGTAGTTCAATCGTCCTGTTCTCTGCCACTGCAGGATGGAGCGGAGTCCAAGCAGGGCACTGTGGAGTGCAGCCTCGGCGGGGGAGCGCGGGAGTTCCCTCTCTCATCCCTCTGCTCTGTGTGTCGGCTCGCTCTCTCTCCCCTCCTGCTCTCGCTGCTGGGCTGGAGACTGAGCCGGCCGTGTCTCAGTGAAGTGCCGGTGGAGCCGCCTCTGGGGCCCGTCCTCCTGTCCTGGGCCCCATCTAAGTGGCAGAACTCCAGGGCCCGGTCGCAGCTGCGACCTTTGCGACCCTGGTAGTTCCGCCAGTGGCATAAACTTTGTATTGACTTCATATTAATATTGAAATACAGTAATCAAAAGCAAATGAAGACAAATAGACACACTTAAAACAAATTAAGACAAATAGGCACACAATTGTTTCCAGGATAATAAATGCTGCAGATCAACAGAACAGTGAGTACACAGGAGATTTTTTTTCTGATTAGATGAGAGTTCTGATTAGTTATTTACTGGATAACAGAGAGTTTACTGCACATGGTTTACTTTCCAAATTGCAACTTCTTTGTGTGCATTGTCATTTGAGCAGATGAACTGTATTTTGAAAAGCTGTAATTTTAATCCAGTAGACAGGAGCATGCGTCGTATAATTATTTACACCAAAAGACACAGGAATGTGTATAACAACTCATTCCAATAATCATCACCCATTCCTTCAAAAAAAAAGTTTTGATGTAGTAGTCTGACTGTGATCATATCAAAATAAAAAAATTTAGTGTTGCTAAATCAAAATTCAGGAAACACCAGAGAAACATCCCTTAACTGCTTGCCCCCTGTAATTGAAGACATAAACAGCAATAAAAACAGCTTTTTTTTTTTTTACAGTTTGGAAGTGTTAGACTCTCTGTCAGATTCTTATTGTCTAAACCTCATTTTGGGAGATTTCTCACCACTTCCTGTTCTGGTAACACCCTATATTTAAGTGTGTCACCAAGACAAGAAATGAGGCTAACACTCTACACTGGGGACCGAGTCAGCAATTAAACTTCACCCCTTATCCAAACTGGGAAAAAAGTCTGAAGTTAACCTACAGAAAACAGCTAAACATAAATATACCATTAGTGTATGTGTATATTACCCCTTTGCCAGGTTTTACAAAGTACACATTTTAAAATAATATATGGGGTGATTACATTTGAAGCAATAATTAATAATTACATACACAACAAATTTAGCATTTGGCTGCTAGAGAATACAACCATTGAGAATCGATTACTTCAGTCTTCATGTCTGTGTAAACATTATTTATCTTCATGTGTATGAAAAATTAAATTCAGCATATGGAAGGAAGTAACCATATGTTAATTAAATGCGTTTTATGCAAATGTGACTTTATCTTGTATACAGAACTCATTTAGCAAATCATATTATTGTTGTTGTGTTGTATTGTTCAAATAAAGTGTTAGCTCAGTGGCTTTACAACAACCATTTTTAGGATGCCTAGGGACTGCTGAACTTTTTAAAAACTTGTCATATTCTCCAGTGGCCCAAGTTGGTAATACTAACAACTGAGTGATATGATCGAAACAGATTGTTGTATTTAAGCATTCAGAAGAGAAATAATGGAGCTGCCATTGCTGCTCTTCTGGAAATTCTAGCTGCCTTGCATTATTCTGATCCAATTGCTTCTATAGTCAGCAACCTGCAAAAAATGTGCAGATCAGGAAAGTCAGAGTAGTGTCAGAAGTCATTTTCTATATACTTGTTCCAGGTCAGTAACTCAATGGGGATGTTCACTGTTCAATGGGCTGTTTAGCAAAGTGAATGTTCACTGTGCAAAGTGAATGTTAGTAAACAAGGTGAGCCTGTGTTTACTTTGAATACCAATCGGGCCAGGGGAATTAGAAAAAAAAACACATTTGCTACCACATGATTGGTTAACAAAGTGAACACAGCTTCATTTTGTTTACTGACCTCAGTAAACTTTTGCAAGCTCAGGAGACTAAGGGGTCTATTCACGAAGCTGCCGAGGGCAGCCGAGTGAATGACCGATCTGAAGGGAAGTGAGCCGAACACTGTTCGGCTATTCACTTCAGGCTGGTACGGCTAATTTCAGCCGTACATCGGCTGAAATCAGCCGTACATCGGCTTGCTTCGTGTGGCTTCGGGTCGGCCGAACATGCTCAGCATGTTCGGCCGACC